CTTGTTTTCACTCTTTTCTTCTCAAATTTTCAGAAGATAAAACTCAGAATAATCAAAGCTACTTGCTATTATTTGACTTTTTACAAAAGGCGGCATCATGACCGTCACTTATACATTTAATGTCGCCACTTCGTCATTTTTCACATTTCATCGATTGCTATTCAGATGGAAGGTGAGTCAGTAACACCAAGCTCTCATTTGGAGCTACTCCGATGGGATCATCCAGAGAATATCTATTACAGAATCGGCGCTGGGTTTCTAGTTTAATTTGGACTGTTATAGCAAGAATGCAGTGGCGTACGCAGTGCCCTCCCCCCCCCCCTCCCCGGTGCGTCCACCGTTGCCTTGCTGATACAAATCGTTAACAATGGTACAAGCAAGCATTTTAATCAACACACCCACACCACTTCCCAACTACCGCCCTTATTCCTTCAGATACAGAACTTTTATTATATATCATTTGCCAGTCTGACCATCCGGCTGACGCTGGATTTCCAGATTCCCTCTAATGATGCACGCTTCGCTAGCATACTTCGCACTGAATGCAAATGAATTGACGGATCAGGGTCTTGTGAATGCTTTCAGAACGCGAACAAATTGAACGTAGTGGCGACCAATAATTAGATGTAACCGATTCAGGGCAAATGAACTTCCAAAATGACTTATGTTTACCCGGCTGCTGTGATCTGTACTTCAATTGATAATTGCTCGATTGATAATATGACCTATAGTAATCAACTGACAATTAATTGGACAGGAACTCGAACACAGAAGAAGGAAAAGACACCTAGATCGTTTACATGTGAGCCAACGTAAGCGCCACCTCCCCTCGTTTCCTTTTGCTTTTGGACGCAGCCGCACCCTTGTCACACCGTTGGACCCGTCGCCACGCGTTCTCCCAATTTGGACGCAGCCGCACCTTTGGCACAACATTGGACAAGTCGTCAGGCATTTCCCCATTTTTGGATGCTGGCGCAGCCTTATCACATCGTTAGACCCGTCCCCAAGCGTTTTCCCAACTTTGGACTCCGGCGCACCTTTATCACACCAATAGACCCGTCGCCAGTTTGCAAATCCGACAACAGCTTTGCGAATCCAGAGAATCGGGTCAAACAGTGTTAACCAAAATAAGCTGATGGTTAGCAACTACGAATACGGGGGGGGGGGGTTCAGAAACCACGCTCAAAAAGCATTTTTCGCTTTACATCACTGAAAGACACAACATTCGTTCCTGAACTCATACTAAAATTGGAACAATACAGAGAAGATTAGTATAGCATGGCCCCTGCGCGAGGATGACACACAAATTCGTGAAGCGTTCCAAACGTTCCGACCATCCAAGCATTTCTATTCAGGGTTCCGTCTGGCAGGCTGTATGGGTAGAACTGTCTATATGGTGTTTGCTATATGCTATACTCAGCATCATATATCGACTGTTTTTGATTAAAGAACACAAAGCGTAAGTTCGAACGATAATTATTAGAACTACTATCAAACTATCATTGAAGTTTTTTTGGTGTTGTGATCAGAAGTTTCCTAGAGCCAATGCTCTCAAAGTACTGGATAAACTTCAAAAGTTCAAAAACGAAGCAAAGTATCGCTTTACAGAACCTTCGAGGATATCTGCATCTTCTTCGATCAACATTCGTCCTTCATTCCTGTCACGTTCATGCTTGGTTTCTATGTTTCTGCTGTATTTAATAGGTGGTGGGAGGTTTTCAACAATATCGGATGGATTGACCAGTGAGCAATGTTCATGTATTGACTATAAAACAACTACAGATGGAAATTTGCGCTTAAAATGACCACCGCATCGCGAACAGATTGCAGCACTTATGATGAATTAGGCTATAAAACATCAGGTGAATCTAAACTGACGATTGAGCTGTCAGTGACCTTCAGAATCTTTGAGGCCCCAGTAACGTTGGACCCACATTGAGTAGGCATAGAAATTCCCGATAACGACGCAGTAAAAGAGCACAGATGGACAATTCTACGTTTGCTTCACAAGTAGCACCGATCCGCGAATCCTATTATCTCCGAAGCCCACTTCCTCGTTGGCACCCGTTAGGAAGCAAGCACCACTGCAAGCATCGGCAATGGTATCATTCTTGGGGTGGCACATGTGCCCGTAGGGTTCTGACTATTCACTGAAGGGCATGGTACCACTCTGATATCGTTTTTGAGAATGTTGGATGACAGCAATCACGAGATGATGCATGCCGATCATAACGGCACACATGACATCGTGCAAAACCTGGTGAAATTTTGATTTCGAGTGCCTTTTTAAAGGGAAACTTGTGCAATGCTATGATGGTATGACGAAATTTACGGGTGCTCACTTCTCAACCCCCGTAACCTCACAGTTATTAACGAGTCGAGACTCGTGCGCGTCTGCATTACACACATTACATTACTTGCATCATTGGTCATGGAAGCTAACAAAAATATCTAAGTTCTGTAGTTTCGATTACGCAGCTAATAATATTCTTAGATCCTGAAGTTGTGACGCTACTGCCAGATCAACAAAAAGAGAAGAATAAAGTTTTGGAAAACCAGGGTTGCTGTCGTGAGTTCGAAACTAGGGTACCAGGATTATTTGAGGCGCTGATTACAATGGTACTAAAGAAAATTTCTTGCGGGAAGGCCGGGGATAGAAAAGTCGGGGGGTGCCCTATAATTATGTAATGCACTGTATATATGCTCAACGTAGAATTTACGTTCTGAACGAGATGTCGATAACCTTCAAGCTGTCATTTCACTTTGTGTGGTGGCTCATGACTTCTCACTTCCCGAAATCAATGTTGAAAGGGATTTTTCTTGACTGGATAATTGACCTTATATGTATGTGTGTGTAGTATCCAAAATCTGCCGAAACCAGTTCTGGATAGTTCCGAATTTTGAAAACAAAAAGTGAGACATGCATATGTGTTACCCCCTCCTCCGCTTGTGACGTCCCACAAAGAGCCGAAGTCTTTAACGTTTAGGCCAGCGCTCCAAATAACGCAAGCCATCCGAGGTGACAATGAGCGCTCGAAAATGTTGCGTCGCACCTGCATTCGCTATCTGGTGATGTTGGAGGCGTTGGTATTCAGAGATATTTCCCCATCAGTTCGACGACGCTTTCCCACAATGAACCATCTTGTCACAGCAGGTATAGAACATTCAATCCAAAATGGGTCACTCCTAACAACTGTACCTCTAGGCTTGATGACGGAAAAGGAATTGAAGGACTATGATGCAGTGTCAAGCCCTCATGCGAAATACTGGCTTCCTGTACAGTGGCTCTTATCGCTGATCACCCTTGCACGAGATGAGGGCCGGATCCATGGGGAAGTGATCTACGTGTCATTGTTAGACGTGAGTGATGTTAAGTGTTTGTTCTGTAGAACATTATTACAGGATGTTGTACTGTTGGCAGTCAGAAGGAATATTTGCAATTACACTCAAACGATTACAGAGAATGGCTGATTATCGATCGAAGCTTATCAATTTAGTGCTATTTGATTGGGTACCCGTTCCGTTGGTGTACACGCAGGTAAATCGGAAGCTCTTTGAGCATTCAAACTCTCTTTTAATATGACAATTTCAGTAAAAGTAAGCGAGAACGCTCTCACCAGATTTTCTTATAGTATCACATTTACATCCGTATTCCATAAAAACGAGAAAAGCAGATTATTCTTGAACTTCTAAACAGCAAAACCAACCGGAGAACGCCCTACCTTATGCTTTCATTGCCCTTTTCCTAGGTTGTGCACCTAGCTGTCTACAGTTACTTTGGTTTGGCCTTATTCGGTCGTCAACTACTCGAGCGAGAAGGAGTGAAGAAATCCGCAAGTTCCCATACAGTTTGTATCATTACAACCGTTGCATAAACGAATCGCATTTTCAGATTGATCTATATGTTCCAATTATGTCGATACTACAATTCACATTTATTGTTGGGTGGGTTAAGGTTGGTTTTCCAAGGGATTCGACAAATATTCAATAATATTGACCGGATGAAACATTGAAAGTGCAGGTCGCCGAAGTTCTACTGAACCCACTTGGCGAGGACGATGACGATTTCGAGTGCAACTGGATAATAGATAGAAACATGCAGGTAGATTTAATTATTACCATTGATGAAGATTATGCTTAACTGGACCACCATTGTTCTTGCGGAATGCAGCAGCGTTGATGGGACTCACACTAGATGAAATAGAGATGAGCCTTGATATCCATAAAACCTCATACGATGAGTTGGATGGGCTATCGAGTAGCAACAACCCTGCTCTTGCTCTGCAACGGTCCACAGTAGAGTGCGAAGCTAGCAGGAATTGATATTTACGTCTTCTCATGGAACAGGAAACGAAGAAATGAAGGCACTGTTCTCTGACAAAGCCTCCACAATAATGGTCCTCTTCATGGCACTTATGTAATCGATTTTCAGGTTGGCTTCTCTGTCGAAGAATGCTACGACAATTACCCGCCTGTTGATCGCGACGCCTTCTGGCAGATTCCAAATCCAGAGCCGCTGTACACAGCACAGAGCGCTATGCGTCATGCAAATCCACAAGTCGGCAGCTGCGTGAACATGTGTGCTCATACCATAAGATAATGTGATGCCATATGACGTTCTATGGCGTCACGTGGCATTTTTCTTGACTCTTGTAAACAAGCCTCCGACTTTTTTGCCGAACAACAAAACAGCATACACCACGGCCAAACCAGAGTGTCAGGATACAACTGTTACTTTTTTAAGGGCAGTGCCTAGCAACTCATCGTACATGCTTCGATCACGGCGCGCAACGCAGACATCGCATTCTTCAGGCTGGGATGTGCAGCTGGAATCGGATGACATCGTACCAGTCATTCAGACAAATGGGTAAGCAAAATGTAAAGACAACCGTGTAAACGACATGAGAGGTTTGACTGAGAGATGAGAATAAAATATACCGATAGGACACAGTCATCACTCCATAATTTCGACGCTCTCCTTTAAGAGTGGTAATCATTCGAAGCTTTTTACAGACATATTGAACATCACTCGAGACTGCCACAATCGATATCATCGTCATCAATGAGTAACTTTATCAAGAAAATCAAGCAAGGCGGCCGACGTATGAGTGAGTGAACCTTGCGACTGCTTACAGTTTTTTTTCACCTTTTCATAAATGGGATATCATGTATCGCTGTTAGTCAGGCAAAGCACTGGCGTGCAGATAACAGTAGAATAGATTGGCGTTGACAAGTGGAAAGCTGTCCAATTTGACCATTAATGATTTGCAGAAACTACGTTAATTTGATATTTTTCAAAGTCACGGTCAAATCATCATCACCTCGCAACCGGGGTTGATTGTCGGTATAAACCTCGCAACTAATGCGGACCATTAAAATGAGCATGAGGAACCTACATTTGAACTTAAACAATGGTGAAAAATTGTTGATGAACCTAGAGAAGATGAAGGCTGTACTAGATGCGTACGTCAGCCATGTGTCATACACGCGCATTTAATTTCGGAAGTTTCGCAGCTAACTTCGGAAGGCAGACTGTACTAGCGTAAAGATCGCTCATCGCGGCACACACACATTCTGAAGGAAAATACTGCGCGGCTGCCGCGGATACCCGCGACGCTGCAAACTCGTGCGTCTCGCCTACATCTGACAATGAGCTGCGTCAGGGCTGCGACTGGGCCTGCCTTTCGTTATAAAGAAGCACGCGCATCGAACACAAGCATCTAGTGAATAGCCTCCCATATAAATCCTGGTCATCGACGAATCGATGATCCCCATTGCATCCATTCTCACCATTCATATCGTACCTCATGTGGAAGGGGGCGGGACTCACCCGTCTTATGCTTGAGGTGCTACTTCCTAGTCAGAACGATGTTGTAAGCCGCCCAAGGCACTCCTTACTCAATTCTCACACTGTTCTCTCTCTCCGGTATGGTAATAAACATTTATCCACTGAATCACCGCACTTATTGTGCATATGGACTATATAAAGTCCAAGAGTCTAAGCCGCCACCACCCGCCACATAATTCGCCACACCTGGTAACGCGCAAGATTTTCTAGAGCGCTGACGCAAGGGGACAGCACCTATTTGCATTCTTTCGTCACGGGCCACAGCCCACAGACCGTGCGCGCAAGGCTGCGAAACTGACGAGACGGTCGGCCGGTGTTTCATCATAAGTCATATACAGATGTGGTGTGAGCAGTGAGTGGTAGGACCTGCACTGTACCGCACCTTCGCTGACAAATGGCGGCTACGCTACGCCGCCACCTCATCCAGATGTTCCTTCTCATTACAGGGTGATTTCGTAATAAGGGCAGCGATAGCTCAACCT